ACGACGGGCAGGAGCGCTTCTTTTACATCATATGTGTGAAGCACGAGCCAGGCACGGCAGATATCTGCCGGACGAGAGGTACTAGCATTGACCACCTATTGTAACAGACGGCGAGGCACATACAGATGAGGTCCCAAGAAAAAGGCTGCATTAAAAAGGATTCAAGTGAGGGCGGCATGCGGGTGGGTGCACTTGAGCACATATGTCAGCGGAGAACCGAAGGCATGACCTGACATAACGAACGTGCGGCACTCTCCCCCAGGGCTCTGCATCACGTTGTTAAAACAGTCCAGCCCGCCCTGATTAGACGAGTGCCAGATCTATTAGATGACATACGCAGCCCTGACCGGCGCCGACGGTGACGACGACGGGCAGGAGCGCTTCTTTTACATCATATGTGTGAAGCACGAGCCAGGCACGGCAGATATCTGCCGGACGAGAGGTACTAGCATTGACCACCTATTGTAACAGACGGCGAGGCACATACAGATGAGGTCCCATACCCCATAAGGAAGATATGGCCTGTAGCTTTAGCCGTAAGGCCGAAGAAAATATGAAGGTTGCTAGATGTTGAAAGCAGACGGCTTACATATTAAACCGGCCATCGTTTGTTGTGGTTTTTTCAGAACAGCCTCTCTGACAATTTTGGCCAACACCGTGCACAGGCTAGCGGGGTAGGCGGCGGCCAACGCAGTATACTTACAGCCCTCTGGGGCCTGGCCTGTGAGAATGGTATGCCGATTATTTGTGCGAGAGCAAAGACCCCGGCGGCCCTTACAGAGCCGATGTAAGTCGGAAAGGGGGCCAGTCTTCCAGGCCGCGATCCTCGTCCTTTTTTGCCAGGGCGTACCGAATTGGCACTGATCAAAATCACACACCCGTGCACACTGCGAAATGATGAGGGACGAAAGAAGCTTGGCATGCCACATTAAAGAACTAGCAGGGTTCTCGAGCATCACAGGTATGCTTAACTTACAGCATAATCGTATGATGCGACATGTAAAGTAGAACGAGGCGTTGCCCGTAGTCAGGCGGGCAATCTCAGATGCCGAGAGGCCGCCGAGGCCCATCGGATGGGCGCGCGACCTCAGAGCCTTCCGGAGCGCTCGAGACCACGTCGTACAGGGCGTGCCTAGGAAGACGGCTGCCACGGCGCGGCTGCGAAGCCAGCCGGACACCACCCGCTCGAAATCGCGGCGGCAGTGGTCCTCCAGCGGCGACAGCCGGAGGTCCAGGCCGAGCGCCGACAAGCCCAGGCGGCGGGCGGCAGCAGAGAAATGGCCACTGCCGCAGAAAAGCTCCAGAACCACCCGACGCCGGCACAGCGAGCCGCGGCTGACCGCAGCCTTGAAGCGGCGCCGCAGGTGGTCGGCGCACTCGGAGCTGCCCAGCCGCGGCCGCTGACGCCCTGGGCCGGCGGCAGCACTGGCGCCGGCACGGCAGGCAGCGCCCAGCTGCGGCTGGCAGGCCGTCGCCTCGCACGCTCGGGCCGCGCTGGACCGCCCATGAGCGCCTCCAGTAAGCTGGCCGGAGTGCGCCGCTGCAGCCCCGCGCCCGCGCAGCCCTTCTCGATCAGCAGCGCGGAGCTCTGCGCGGCCAGGTCGCCGAATACGTACATGGTCGAAAGCACGCCCCTCAGCTCGCGGAAGAGGGCCGTCCCCTTCGCGTACCTCATCCTCGATGATGGCACAGCCCAACAGCCTCGCTGGTAAACCTGCTCCTGCGACCTCCACCGGGACAAAAGGTCGTCGCTTTCGTCGAAGGCACCCGTCTCGCCCGCCTGCCCGCGGCCTGCGGGGGGGAGGAGAAGGTGCCAGAACTGGTAGGCTGGGCCCGCTGGCGCCGAGGGCTCCACGATGCTGTCCGTGGGCAGCCGCTGAGTCTCGGCGGACATGAGGTATACCGAGAACGGCCTCGCCAGCCGCGCCGCCCTCGGCGCCTGCTGCCAGGCGATCCGGACGTTCACCAGCACGAACATGACCGCCCTCGGGATGGGCGAACGCGGGCGGGTCATGGCCAGCCTCCGCCGCGCCTGCAGCGCGCGTGAGGCGCGGGGCCAAGGCGAGCCCACCCGCCTGTGGAGCCCCGGCGTGAAGAGCGTCAGCGCTGCCACCGTCTGCGGTCCGACGCTCGGCACCGCCTCCGCGATGTAGCGAAAGGTGCAGTACTCGACGAGCAGGCAGTCCAGCTCGCGCGAGTGGCTCCAGTCCCGGCGGTGGACCCAGCAATACGTGAGGAACGTCTGCAGGAGCCGCCTGTACATGGCCTCCGTGTTTGGCCATACGGACAGCTGCTCCAGGAGCGTCAGGGCGCCCACCAGAGGCCGCCCGCGCGCCGCCGCCGCCGCCAGCTGGGCGCGCTGACGAGTCCGAACTGGAGACGTAGGGGCCATCTGCCTCTGCATGGCCTGCGCCTCGCGTGCCAGAAACCCGAGCAGAAGGCCGAGCGCCGCGACGGCCAGTGCGGGTCCTCGCATGGCCAAGGTGTCGATGGCCGGTGAACCAGCCGAGCTTGCCTCTACTGAGGCCGTCTGCTGGGTTACGCTCCGAGGCAATCCAGCGGACGAACAACTTCGAGCCAGTGGCCAGGGACAGTGCACACAGCTGGTTCAGGCACGACCTCAAGTGTCTTGACCGAGCCCTTCCTTTCGCGCAGGCGAGGGCTAAGGGGAGGTTGTCCACAAGAGCGACCATGCGAGCCCCATGAGCGCCCAAACCTCGGAGGAGATGGCGATAGGACGTGACCAGGGCCTCCCCCTCCAGGTACAGTATGTTGGCCCCCGTGGAGACCGACTGCGCCGAGACTGACTTCCAGGCATCCATGCGAGTAAGGTGCCCAGGAACCTCCTCCATGTCCCAAGAGTCGCCCTCGACGTAAGAGGCATTGGCACGCGTGAGGCTGTTGTCTACCTTGAGCTCCACGTGGGGGTCCCCGTGCAGGCCCTTGGAGATGAAGGGGTCCTCATGCAGGCCCACGTGCTCCACGTGGGGGTCCCCGTGCTGGCCCATGAGCTCCTTGTAGGGGTCCCCCTGCAGGCCCGGAGAGGTACACGTAGCTCCCGAGACACACGATGGCGCCAAACCTGCTTGACCGCCCACAGGGATAACGTGATGAACACCGAGCTGTGAAGGGTCGATTGGAGAAAGAGGCCGAGAGGAGTCGACGTTTTCTGACTCAACGCTGGGGCGCTCCAGGCCGCCCTCTCGCAGTGATCGGAGCCGGGCCTGGTGCCCGCCCTCGACCTTGAAACGCCACTTCTCCGAGCAGCGCCCGACGGCGGCGCAGACGGCGCGAGGCGCGCGTCTCCGCATCACCCCAAGACCGAAGGGCGATGCGTCGCTAGCCGTCAGCGTGGGGTGCCACGCGGCCGCGAGGTCGCCGGACAGGACGGGCAGGAGGTCACGGATGATAGTTAACTCCTTCGCCGCCGCCGCCCAGATCCTGCCCTGCCTCTCGCCGTAAGCCGCCGCGAAGCCGTAGGCGCTGTGGAGCACCGTGAGTACCTCCCGGCGGATCATGGACGACCAGGTCACATGGCCCAGCACCGCACGCATCATGTGGCCGCTGCACCAGCCCCGCCTCAGAAGCCCAGTGATTGCCGAGTGCAATCGCCAGATGTTCCGCGGCTTGATCCTGAGGTACCTCCCGTGCTTCAAACTGAGGCCCAAGAAGTCCAGGTCCTTTGCGGCGGGCTCGATCTCGTGGACAGGAAGCCCTCGAGCACGGAAGGCGGCCACCAGCCGAGTCATAGCCAGGTCGACCGCGCCCTTCTCCGCACCGAAAGCCAGGATGTTGTCCACGTAAGCCCCGACGCCGACGGAGACCGGGTCGGTGACCACAACACCGGCTTGGCCGTCCATGGCGGTCATGGCCCTCTCATGGCCCTCCGCAGCCAGGACAGCGCGCGCAGCCGACTGGCAGAAGTGCAAAGCCCACGAGAAGCCCATCGGGAGGACGGTCACCATGGGCGCCACGCGCGAGAGAGGATCGAAGTCAAGGTCGATCAGGCCGAGCTCTTGCAACACGGCGACCGAGATCGACGGCAGGGTGAACAGCGTCTCCATCCCGCGCGGCAGCCGCATGTGGTAGAAAGCGCACTCCAGGTCGCACGTGGAAAGGTACATGCCGCCCGCCGGGGCTTCAATTGCGCTGAAAGACGCAGCTGAAGGAAGCCTCGTAGCCGGCGGATCCAAAAACTTGCAGTTGGCGGCCCTCGTGTCGAAAATTATCCTGAGGGCCCCCGACTTCTTGGGCACAAAGAAGAGGCCGACGGTGTGGGGCTGACCGGTGTCAGCCGCGAAGGTAACCATCTGCCTCTGGTGCATCTCCATCAAAAACTGGCCATAGGCGATCGCGTCCCGGAACAGGTTCGGGTCGCAGTACGGCCCGTGCGGGCAGGCCGAACGTGCCAAGGCCTCGGCGGACTGCCGATCTCGAAGCATATGGCTCTGCCATCCCTCCAGCCAGGCCTTGTCATGGGGCTGCACCAACTCGACAAGCTCGACGGGCGCGGCACCACCAGCGGGCCATGCGACTCGGTCGCGGACGTAGGGGGACGACGAGGCGGCGCCCGAACCGTACAGGTTGGCGCAGGAGAGGAGCTCCCGGAGGGCCCCGTCTTGACCAGCACGCGTGTCCCTGAACTCGGGCGGCGGCGCGCCCAGCTCCTTGACGCATCGGTCGATATGCATGATGGCCTGGCGCTGCCCCTCGTGCGCTGCTGACGGAGGCGAGGACCGAGTGCCATAGAGTGAATTGAGTGCATTGGTGGCCGCTCGAACACGATCATCATGATGAGCGCGAAGGCCGCGCCGACGAGCAGCGCGTCGCCCGCCAGGCTCCACAACTCGCGGAGCAGCGGTCGGTGTGACCGGCAGCGGGAAAACGTCGCGCTGGCGTCGTGTCCCTGGCGGCCGGGGGCCTGCGGCGGGAGCCGCGAAGCAGTCCCGAGGGGAGGCTGGCCCGTCTGCCCCCCCTCGGCTCATCTCAGGCATCGGCGCCTGGGGTATTGCCGCCCCCACGGCCCCGTCGCCCTCGGCCTCGGCCGCCGCGGCCACGGCCTCCGCGCCCCTCGCCGCCGCCAGAGCCAGCAGCGCCAGTCCCGGCGGCCAAAGCACGCTCCTCGCGAGCCTTGCGCCGTTCCTTGGCGATCGCCGCCTCGCGCGACTTCTCAGCAGCCAGCCAGTCGCGCAGCGCCGGGGCCATGCAGATGCCGCTGCCCGCATCCTGGACGCCGGACAGCAGCGCGGCGTCGTTCCCATGCTCGGACGTGGGCGCGAACCTGTCGCGGTACAGCTCCTCCTGGGTCTGGAGCGTGCGGCCAACCAGCTCCATCGACGCTAGATTGGTCGCGTGGGTCTGATCATACACGACACCGAACTCCAACAGCCTGCAGCACAGCAAGTGCACGTCCACTCCTGGATCCTCGTCGTCCAGGTAGGCCTCAGCCTTCCACTTGGTGTGGCGCCCGAGCGGTGTGCCACCGTTGCGGCAGATGTAGTTCAGCACCCACAACAACGTCCTTGGCCCTTTGAGCGGCCAGTCATGCCAAGGCAACTCGTGCATCCTCATCACGGCCGTCCTGAAGTCGACGTAACGGACCCCCTGGGAGTCCTGGACGATGGCTTGCATCCGTGCGTCGCCGCCAGGGGCCGCCGCTACTGCAGCGAAAGCATTCGCCAGGGCGCCCGCCCCTATGTCGGCCCATCCAGGTGCGGCGGCCGCTGCGGCGGGCGCGGCGGCTGCGGGAGCGGGGACGCCCACGGGCCCGGCGGCCAGCGGGGCGCCAGCCGCGAGGGCGCCGGCCACCGGCACAAGGCCGCCTCCCAGCGCGGCCCCAGCGGGCGCTGCGGCCGGCACGAGCGCGCCTGCCGCTGCTCCAAGGGCCGCCGCACCGACCGCAGCGGGCGCCCCCAGGGCCGCCGCGAGGCCCGCCACGCCGCCAGCGGCCGGGCCGCCCGCGGCGGCAGGGACACCAGCAGCAGCAGGAGCGACAGCTGGCGGCTCGATGACCCGGCCCACGGTGTTCAGGGCCACGGCCGGACCCTGAGCGAGCCCGAGCGTGCCCCGAGTGGCGGTGGCCGCGGCAGCGACGGCCGCCGGCAGAGGCAGGGCGCGGAACCGGTAGACCTGGTCCCCTCCAGTCGCCGCCGAGATGCCTCCGGCGGCGCCTCCAGCTGTGATGCAGAACTCGGCCACGTCCGCGCCTCCATTTGCGATGATCTCGACGTAGTCGTGCCCGTCCGGGGTCAGGATCCCGCACCCAAAGGGCTCGACAGGTTGGAAGGCCAGGAGGAGGCGCTCATGCCAGATCCTCGCCCCCCCGACCTGGTATCGGATCAAGATGAAGTCCCCCTCATCCAGGCCGAGGCGGGCGAGGGGATGGCCCGCGGCCGCAGCGGCCGCCGCCGACATGGCCTCACTGGACCTGCAGCCGCCCGCGAACCAGAGCAGCCTGGGCACGGGCCTCCTCCTCGAAATGGTCGGTCGTCGTCAGAGCCCGCGTCGGAGCAGGTGGAGTGAACCAAAGGCCCAGCAGCGCGCCAGCGGCCAGGCCCAGCACCGCGGCCAGCACGACGGCCGATAGCGGCCAGGTCCCCACCTGGTGTGGGCAGTCCAGCCTCTGAGGCTCCGACCCGCTGCCGCACACCAGCGATGGCTTGCAGGTGCACGGCGGACACTCGGGCTTCGCAGCCCAGACCGCCAGGCTCGTGGCGGCGGAGCGGACTGCTTCGGTTGTGAGCCACTCGCTGAAGCTCATCGAGCAACCTTCCTCAATGCACTTGAGCACATATGTCAGCGGAGAACCGAAGGCATGACCTGACATAACGAACGTGCGGCACTCTCCCCCAGGGCTCTGCATCACGTTGTTAAAACAGTCCATATATGTGCGTGCGTGCGTGTGTGCGTGCGTGTGTGTGCGTGTGTGTGCGCGTGTGCGTGCGTGTGTGCGCGCGTGTGTGTGCGTGCGCGTGTTTGTGTGCGTGTGTGTATATGTGTGCGTGCGTGTGCGTGCGCGTGTGTACGCGTGTGCGTGCGTGTGTGCGTGCGCGGCGCCTGCGAGGTGCACGCGTGCGTGCGCGCGTGCGTGCGTGCGCGCGCGCGTGCGTGTGCGTGTGCGTGCGTGCGTGCGTGCGCGCAATGCATGCGTGCGTGCTGCGCGTGCGTGTGCGCGTGCGTGCGCGGGTGCGCGTGCGTGTGTGTGCGTGGCATGTGCGGCGTGCGTGCTCGCGCGCGTGCGCGTGCGCGTGCGCGTGTGCGCGTGCGCGTGCGCGCGCGCGTGCGCGCGCGTGCGTGCGCGCGCGCGTGCGCGCGCGCGTGCGTGGGCGCGCGTCGTGTGCGCGTGTGTGCGCGTGCGTGTGCGTGTGCGTGGTGGCGCGTGCGTGCGCGCGTGCGCGTGCGCCGCGCGCGCGCGCACGTGCGCGTGCGTGTGCGCGTGCACGTGTGCGCGCGCGCGTGCGTGCGTGTGCGCGTGTGTGCGCGTGCGCGCGTGCTTTCGTGCGTGTGTGCGCGTGCGCGTGTGTGTATGTGCGTGTGTGCGTGTGTGTGTGTGTGTGTTCGTGCGTGCGCGTGCGCGTGTGCGCGTATGCGCGTGCGTGTTTGCGCGCGTGCGCGTGAGCGTGCGCGCGCGTGCGCGCGTGTGCCTGCGCGTCTGTGCGCGCGCGTGCGCGTGTGCGCGTGCGAACATGTGCGCGCGCGTGCGCGCGTGTGCATGCGCGCGCGTGCGCGCGTGCGCGCGTGCGCGTATGCGCGCGTGCGCGCGCGGGCGCGCACTGGCGCGCGCGGGCGTGTGTGGGTGGGCGTGGGTGGGCGTGGGTGCGGGTGTGGGTGTGTGTGGGTGTGCCTGGGTGTGTGTGCGTGGGTGTTCGCGTGCGCGCGCGTGGATGTGTGGGCGTGGGTGGGCGCGGGTGCGTGGGTGCGCGGCTGGGCGCGGGTGGGCGTGGGTGGGTGTGTTTGTGCGCGCGGGTGCGCGTGGGCGCGGGGGCGCGCGGGCGGGCGCGGGCGGTTGCGGGCGGGCGCGAGCGGGCGCGTGGGCGGGCACGTGGGTGGGCGCGGGGATGGGTGCGGGGGGAGGGGGGGGAGTGGGTGTGAAGGGTGGGCGTGTGTGCTGGCGTGCGTGTGTGTGCGCGTGGGGTGGGGGTGGTTGTGGGCGCGGGCGTGGATGCGGGCGCGGGCGTGGGCGTGGGCGCGGGTGCGCGTGTGCGTGTGCGTGCGCGTGCGTGTGCGCGCGTGCGCGCGTGCGCGTGCGTGGGTGCGCGCGTGCGCGCGCGTGCGCGCGCATGCGTGCGTGTGCGTGCGTGCGCGCGCGTGCCCGCGCGCATCCGAGTGCGCGTGCGCGTGCGCGCGCGCGTGCGAGCGCGCGCGCGCGCGTGTGCGCGCGTGCGCGGGCACGTGTGATTGTGTGCGCGTGAGCGTGCGTAGGTGCGTGCGTGCGTACGTGGGTGCGCGAATGCGCGCGCGCGTGCGCGCGCGTGCGGGCGCGCGCGCGTGCGTGCGCGCGCGTGCGCGCGCGTGCGCGCATGCGCACGCGCGTGCGTGCGCGCGTGGGTACTTGCGCAGGTGTGCGCGTGTGTGCGTGTGCTTGTGCGCGTGCGTGAACGTGTGCGCGCGCGTGTGCGCGTGCGTGTGGATGGGCGTATGCGCGTGCGCGTGCGTGTGCGCGTGCGCGTGCGTGCGCGTGCGCGTGCGCATGCGCGTGCGCGCGCGTGTGCGTGTGCGGGTGGGTGTTCGCGTGTGTGTGCGTGCGCGTGTGAGTGCGCATGCGTGGCGTGGGCGTGTGCATGTGCGCGCGCGGGTGCGTAGGTGCGTGCGTGAATGCGTGCGTGCGTTCGTGGGTGGGTGGGTGGGCGGGTGGGTGTGAAGGTGTGTGTGTGGGTGCAAGTGCGTGCGCGCGTGCGCGTGCGTGTGTGCGCGGCTGTCCGTGCAGGTGTACGCATGCGTGTGTCCGCGCGCCTGCGCCTGCGCGTGCGCGTGCGCGCGCGCGTGCGCGTGCGTGTGCGCGTGCGTGTAAGTGTGCGTGTAAGTGTGCGTGCGCGTGTGCGCGCGCGTGCGCGCGTGCGCGCGCGTGTGAGTGAGCGCGTGCGCGTGCGTGTGCGCGTGCGTGTGCGCGTGTGCGTGCGTGTGTGCGCGTAAGTGTGAGAGTGGCTGTAGGCGTGCGCTGGTGTGTGTGTGCGTGTGAGTGTGCGTGTGCGTGTGCGCGCGCGCGCGAGCGTGGGCGTGTGGGTATGCGCGTGCGTGTGCGTGTGCGCGTGCCGTGCGTGTGCGCGCGTGCGCCGGGTGCGCGCGCGCGTGCGCGCGCGCGGTGCGTGTGCGTGTGCTGTGCGCTGCGGGTGCGTGTTGCGCGTGCGGGTGGGCGTGTGTGGTGCAACGTGCGCGCGCGGCGTGCGCGTGCGCGTGAGCGTGCAATGTGCTCGCGCGCAATACTCGTGCGCTGGCGCGCGCGCCGCGTGCGCGTGGCGCGTGCGTGCGCGTGCGGTATGTCTGCGCGGGCTTGCGCGCGCGCGCATGCGCGGCGTGCGCCAGGTGAGGTGGCGCGCGCGCGCGCGTGCGCGCGGCGCGTGCACGCGTGCGCGCGCATGCTCGTGCGCATAGGCGCGTGTGCGTGTGCGTGTTGGCGGTGAGCGTGCGCGCGCGTGCGTGTTTGCGTGCGCGTGCGCGGTGCGTGGGCGCGTGGCGCGGCGTGTGCGCGTGCGCGTGCGCGTGCGCGCGCGTGTGCGCATGCGGGTGCGTGTGCGTGCGCGCGTGCGTGTGCACGCGCGTGTTCGCGTGCGTGCGTGCGCGCGTGCGCGCGCGTGCGCGCGTGCACTTGCGCGCGCACGATCTCCGCGCGATCTCCGCGCACGAAAGATCCCGGCGCCACATGGGAAGCGCGCCACCACAGGGCGGGACATCCGACACTCGCATCGCGAGAGGCATGGTCTCCTTACCAGCACCGCCCGTGCGTGTGTGTGTGTGTGTGCGTGTGTGTGCGCGCGTGTGTGTATGCGTGTGTGAGTATGCGTGTGCGTGTGCGCGTGCGTGGGTGTGTGCGTGCGTGTGCGTGCGTGTGCGCGCGTGCGCATGCGTGTGCGCGTGCGTGTGCGTGTGCGTGTGCGTGCGCGTGTGCGCGTGCGTGCGTGCGTATGTGTGTGCGTGTGCGTGTGTGTGCGTGCGTGCGCGCGCGTGCGTGCATGCGTGCGTGCGTGCGTGCGTGGGTGTTGCCGTGTCGGCGCGGCGTGCGCGCGTGCGTGCGTGCGCGTGTGCGGCGTGCGTGTGCGCGGTGGGCCCAACGTGCGCATGCGCGTGCGCGTGCAGGTGAGCGCGCGCGTGCGCGTGCGCGTGCATGTGCGCGTTTGTGTGTGTGCGCGTGCGTGTGCGTGTGCGTGCGCGTAAGGGTGTGCGTGTGCGCGTGCGTGTGCGTGTGCGTGTGCGCGTGCGCGTGCGTGTGCGTGTGCGTGTGCGTGTGCGTGTGCGGGTTGGTGTCGTGTGTATGTGCGTGTGCGTGCGCGCGCCTGCGCGGTGCGGGCGCGTGTATGTGCGCGTGCGTGCGCGTGTGTGTGCGCGCGTGCGCGTGCGTGCGTGCGTTGGTGCGTGCATGAGTGCGTGCGTGCGTTCGCGGGTGGGTGGGTGGGTGCGTGCGCGTGTGCGCGTGCGTGTGCGTGCGCGCGTGCGTAAGGGTGCGCGCGTGCGCGTGCGCGTGCGCGTGCGCGTGCGCGTGCGTGTGCGTGTGCGCGCGCGTGCGCGTGTGCGTGTGCGTGTACGGGTTGGTGTCGTGTGTGTGCGTGCGTGCGTGTGTGTGCGCGCGCGTGCGCGGTGCGGGCGCGTGTACGCGTGCGCGCGTGCGTGCGTTGGTGCGTGCGTGCGTGCGCGCGTGCGTTCGCGGGTGGGTGGGTGGGTGGGCGTGTAAGCGTGCGCGGGTACAGGTGCGCGCGTGCGCGCACGCGCGTGTGCGATGTGCGGATGTCTGTATAGGTGTACGCATGTGTGCACATATGTGCGCGCGTGTGTCCGTGCGCCTGCGCCTGCGCGTGCGCGTGCGTGTGCGCGTGCGTGCGCGTGTAAATGTAGGTGTACATGTGCGTGTGCGTGTGCGTGCGAATGCACGTGTGCGTGTGCTTGCCCGGGCGCGCATGCGCGTGCGCGCGCGCGTGCGCGCGTGCGCGCGCGCAAACGTGCGCGCGCACGTGCGCGCGTGCGTGCGCGTGCGCGTGCGTGTTCGTGTGCGTGTGTGTGTGCGTGTAAGTGTGCGTGTGGCTGTAGGTGTGCGCGGGTGTGGTGTGTGTGCGTGCGTGTGCGTGTGCGTGTGCGTGTGCGCGTGCGCGCGCGCGTGCACGAGCGTGGGCGCGCGCGTGCGCGTGCGCGTGCGCGTGCGTGCGTGTGTGCGTGAGCGGGTGCGCGTGCGTGTGCGTGTGCGCGTGCGCGTGCGTGTGCGTGTGCGCGTGCGTGTGCGCGTGCGCGTGCGCGTGCGCGTGCGCGCGCGCGTGCGCGCGCGTGCGCGTGTGTGCGCGTGTGCGTGTGCGCGTGCGCGTGTGCGCGTGCGCGTGCGCATGCGCGTGGCGCGCGCGTGCGCGTGCGTGCGCGTGCACGCGTGCGTGTGCGTCTGCGGGTGCGTGTGCGTGTGCGTACGCGCGTGCGTGTGCACGTTCGTGCGCGCGTGCGTGCGCGTGTGCGTGTGCTTGTGCGCGTGCGTGTGCGCGTGCATGTGCGCAAGGGTGCGCGTGTGCGCGTGCGTGTGCGTGTGCGCGTGCGCGCACGTGTAAGTGTGCGCGTGGCTGTAGGCGTGCGCGGGTGTGTGTGTGCGGGTTGGCGTCGTGTGCGTGCGTGCGTGTGCGCGTGCGCGC